CCACGTCAGCAGCTTACCTCGTAGCACAGTTCACAGACCTTGGCCTTCACCCCTCCCGCCTCAATCTGCAGTCAAATGAAGTCAACGGGGTCAAGTTAAGTGAACCTGGACGGGTGACAACAGGTGATCACAGCATAATTGACCTTAAAGAGCGTGACAGTACTCCACGTGGCAGTCCTGTTGCCCAGGTGCCACGTGTCAGCGTCTCACCATGGCGCTGAGCGGGTTGAGCGGCAGCACGTAGCCGGTGCACTTGCTGCAGTACACGTTGCCGCAGCACCGACAGTGGTGCCTGCGCGCCGAGCCCCATGCACCACGCACGCACCATGCAACAAGCAACACGCAGCACGCAGCACACAGCACGCAGCAAGAGTAAGCAGCACGCAACGCATCGAGCAGTAATCACGGAGCGTCAAACGTCAAAGAGGAGGAGCGACGGCTGCTCGAAATCACGAGGGAATGACGGAGCGGAACGGGTCGGAATGAGGCCTGGCATGACTGCGAGTGATCCATCTCCGCCGCACGCCAGGTCTTACTTGCGGCGGCGCTGCGTGAACTCCTTTCCGCACGCGGGATTGGTGCAGCGCTTGAACGCCTCCTCCGGCATCCAATGGCTGCGCGACACCTCGCTGCCCGGCCCCGGCGAATCCACCCACTCGTCCGGCTCCGGCGGCGGCGACGCGACGGAATCCGCCTCGGGACTCCACATCGCGACGGATTAGCTGCTCTGAAATTAAGTAATTACTTGCGTGGTCTTAACTTATCTCGGAAGGAGGGTCGGGCGTTCATGCGCGGGAGAGATCGCGCGACGAGAGTAAGAGGCTAATGCAATGTGTGTGGAGCACACGCGACCATGAAGGCCTAACGTCGCTGGAGTCGGAGTGACGCCAGGCCGCCAATAACCAGGACCAGACCTGTGGGATTCCTCCTGTGTGATGTGATGCTCCGCGTGGGAAATGTTGGAACTCGGGTCTTGGGATGATGGATGAATGGTTGCTGCTGGCTCTACTCTGCGCGACGTTCGTTCATTTCAGTATCTGTGGGTTGGGCTCGGCGCTACAGTACTCGCCCGTTTCCAGTCGACAGTCCCAAGGTCGCTGTTGGCGGGTGCGGCCGAACTGGCCTGCGGCTCTGCGCTTGGAAATTCGTCCGCCCTTGGGTGACTGGTTCGTACGAAACGGCTGCCTCGTTATAAGAGTTCCAATGAGGTATCGAGTGGGAAACTCCCATTAAAAATGGATGCTGATTCTATGAAAGCAAAACGTATTCAAAAAGCAATGAGGAACTAGAGAGGGGATTTTGTCATAATTCTGGTGCCTTCCACAGCTTCAACTTCTTGTCTGCACTCGCTGTGGCAAGTATGTGCACTGGCTTCGATCCTCCAGCTGCAAAAATCACATCGAAAGGAGGAGGAAGAAATAATGTTGTGAACAGCCACAACAGCAAGACCAAAACAAAAAAAAAGAGGAAATAAAACGGTTCTCACCAATGGGAACTGGCTTGGGCGACCACGCCATCCACGTAATCACATCTGCATACACCAAAGCACAGGAACACAACCACAACAGTGAGGATGGTGAGAGGAGCAGAACCTTACACCCAGGTAAGCCAATCCATGGTACGGTAACCCTACGAACAACCAACTCACCGGTGTGAGCCTGCTCGTCCGCCGTGACAATGCTGCCTCCCTCCAGCTCATACCACAGCAGCGCCGCCCCCACGGCCACAGCCAGCAGGCGGCCGTCTGGACTGACAGCTATTCTGTCCAGCAGGGGCAGAGCTGGGGCTGCGGGCTTCTTGCCCTTCTTGCCTGCTGAGGCAGCTGCTGCTGCATCGGCTGCGGCTACGGCCTCTGGCGTGGTGGTGGAGGGCAGCGGCAGGATGGGGAAGGTGCGGCGGCACTTGGGGTCCTCGTCCAGATGGTAGCGCACTGTGGTGGGTTGCAGGGGAGAAGAGGGGGGTGGAGATCAACAGGGCAGAAGGAGAAGTGGGGAAGAATGGAGGGGGTTGGGAGATGAGCAGGTGGAGGAGTAGAAGTGTGAGCAGGCAAAGGGTAAAGGAGAGAAAGGGATGGAGGGAGCGGGGCGAGAGGCAAGGGCACACCATCGATGTTCCAGATCTTGATGGTGCCGTCCTTGGATGCCGTGACCATGCCCTTGCTGTCCCATGTGAACGCCAGCCATGTCACCGCACTCTGCATGGCGCATGCACATGCACCCACGGGTGGGTGGGCAAACCAGGGAGTCATAAGGCGATCACTTAAGAGGTGCGCCAGGATGCAAGCGGAGCGTTAGTAGCGAATCCAGTACAGGCTGGCTTGGCTCCACAAAAGTGGTTAAGTGGGCAACAATAGAGCGAGTTTGAGATATGTGCTCTGCACCTGCATGCTCTATACCCAGTACACGATGGCGCGAATTGGATCTTACCTTGTGGCCCTTGAGCTGCATGACACGTGTCACACTCTGAATGGCTCCATCCCGTCCGTACACCAGCTCCCATATCTGTAACACACCATTGCAGCATGCACGTAGCAAACAGACCAGCCACGTAGGTGATCAACGGATCAGAACGACCCCTTGCTGAAGGCACGGAAGGCAGGGGCGGGAAAGAATTGAATTGTAACCGCAAGAACCATCCATGACATTCAGACAATTATTGGATTGCAATCCTCAAGGCATTCAGGTGCACTGACATGCACCCACCTTCACGTCTGCCGTAAATGCTGCGATTGCGAGGAACCTGCCATCGGGTGAGAGGGCGACCATGGTGTTGCGCAGCTGGTTGGAGTCCACCTCCCCCACCACCTTGCCATCCGCCGCCCCCCACACCACCACGTCCGTTGCTGTGATGGGTGGACGGGGTTGAGAGGGCCGAGCAGTGAGGGGAGGAAAGGGAGGGGAGGGGAGCAGAGAGGTGGACATGCAAGCAACGGAGAGGTGGAGCAAGGAGGGGCGGACTAGGCAGCAGGATGCAAGATGCACAAGGCAGTGTGACGGTACCTTCTGAAGACGTGGCGATGACAGCAGTGCCATCACCCGACCCCTGGGAGGAGATGGCGGAGGTGATGGCGATGATGGCCTTGTTGCCGTGTGCCGGCCGGTGCTCCCACTTCACCTCCACGGGCGCCTGCTTACCCTCCTTGCGCGCCTCCTCCAACGCCCTGCCTGCTTGCCCCACCAGTCACGAGCCACAGGGAATGGGGGAGGGGGAAGGGGGATAGACGGATTTCACAGGGCTCAACAATGCCAATTGTGCTGACTGGGGTGTTGTGGAACGATGAACTTGAGGAAAACGGGGGTGGATGGAAGGACCTGTGGCGGGGCCGTAGAAGCGCATGCAGCTGCCGTAGGGGCTGGTGCCCGACACGGCCACCTCCATGGGCGACATGCCGAACGCCACCCCCACTGGATGCACCCCCGGCCCTGTGTTTATGCGCCGGAACCTGGGAAAGGGGGAGGCGGGGGGAGCGGAGGGCGGGTGGCCGGAGGGGGTGGGGGAGTTGTGGGGGAAAGGCGGAGGATTGAGGCGGGAGAGGGTGGTGGTCGTGTGTTCAGGTTAGAAGTGTGATGGACGATGGAAGCAGAGCGGGGGAGCAAGTGAATAAGGCAGCAGAAATAATGTGGGCCAGGGGTGCATGGGGGGAACGTACTTGATGCTCTTGGCAGTGACGTCGTCAATGGTGTACACTCGCACCACTCCATCGCCACACGCTGCACACACACACACGCACGCACGCAAACATGCAAGCATGAATGCTCATGAAGCACAGTAAAGGTCTAAAATCATGCACGCGTAGCAGCCAAGTGGGATGCAGCGCGGATGCGTGAGCGTGCGATGTGTGTGCGACAACGACGTGTGGTGAGGAAAGGAAACAGCTAACAGCAGGTCAGCTGCAAGCGTCCATCTCAAGGCTGTCGCTGTGTCTCGGTTGTTCGTCCGCTAGCGTGCGTGCGGGAAAGAGAGTCGACCATCTCCAGGTGCGCAGGTAAGAGCGCACCTGTGGCGAGCGCGGAGCCATCGTGCGAGAAGCAGAGGCCCGTGACGGCGTCGCCGTGCTTCAGCGTGTTCACCTCCAGCGGGTGCCGCGGGCCCGCCGGCGCCTGCTCGCAGATTCACGAAGGATGGGAACGCAGGACGCGAGACGCGGGAGAGTGAATACAGGAAATGATCGATTACGAGGAAGGTCGCTGAGCACGGGAGAACCAGCCAGTCCTTCCTAAGATCACAACTAATCAGCACAGAGGACAAACAGTCGTACAACCTTTTCAGAAAGCGGTCTCCGACGAGGCGCCTGTTTCTGGCTCTGCGATTGCTTCTTTGCCTCTTTCTGCTCTTGATCTGTCGCCTTTGCCGTCGATTCAGACTTACGCGATAACAGTATCTGCAGAAGACTCAAAACTACGACGATCGCTACAGCTACCCAGACTCGAGGATCTTGGAGCAAATCCATGGCGGCAGATTCAGGATCGGTTTGAGTGACGTGGAGGGGACAGACTGAAGCAGGAATTTGCAAGTGTTTCGTGGAGATTGGTGTTGACGGGGGTGCTTGAGTTTGTAACATTTGCGAACACCAGGACGTGGTTGACTCGCCTTCACTTCACCCACATGCGTTACACGAAAATGTGTCGCTTTCGCACGCAATGGTCGTGGCTGACAAATCCCTGACGGACGACGGAAACCGTCAGCGTCGTGCTTTCAGCCGCAACCCCGACGCTGTCGCGTGGCGTGCTTCAGTTGGACCCAAACCAAAGCGGCCTTGAAATTGCCGAATCACCACAAAAAGCACCAGAAAGAAGCAGCAGCAACACCACATCCGCGGCACGCTCTCGATTTGTTTCCTCCATGGCTCCGCCTCCAGCACCTCTTGTAGTCCATATCCAAGCGTCCAGATCGGCATCGTGCGTTATCTATGTTAACGAGGCCCTAGTTTCCAAGCGCTAAGCTTTCAGGGTTGCTGGTTCGAGCGTTTGAGCCACCGCGAATTTCCGCGTTTGGTCAGCATGTCGCTAGGAGACGTCCAGGCGTGCGAGTTAGCGCAACGGCTAGAGCAGCAATGGGGCGCGGCTCGGCAGCTCGCGTCAGACATCCAAACCGCTGTTGCCGGATTTCTCGCCGCGTCCGTCCAACCACCCTCCCTGGTCGATCTCGGTCGCCAGTCGCTCAAAGCCGTCGATCGCGACTGCGACGCGGCCTGTAACCGCGATGAAGAAAGCGACGAAAGGGACGATCGAAGGCACGATGATGGAGCGAGGTCACGGGAGGCGATCATGGCGCGGCTACGTGGCTTTCGATGGCACGCGCAGGTTATCCGCCAGCAAAGCATTGTGCTGGCTGATGTCACCTTTCATCTCTGCGACGTCCTCGAAGCTTCGTGCTCCTTAACACCCGAGGAACTTTCTCGGCTGGCAGGCGCGGTGCCGGCGTCGCATCCTGACGAGGCTTCCTCGAACCTTCTATCTGAGCTCGACTCCCCTCCGCCGCTGCTCAGCAGCCCAGCCACAGACGCAGCAGCGGGACAGGCTTCGCATGGGGGGGACGCGGGTGCGCGCGAGACGGCATCAGGGCCGGAAGATGGCGGTTGGTCGCGGGATACGCGAGAAGGCGAGTGGGACGAGCGGGACACGGGCGTGGTGGAGCAGGTCAGCGCGGAGCCGCATGAAACGGCGCAAGGCGAGGATGTGGCGGAGGAGCGGGGCGAGCTGGCAGCGTGGGGAGCGAAAGGGCAGCGCAAGAGGCGCACGCGGCGGCGGTTCTACCCGGATGAGCGCGACGAGCTGCGGAAGGCGTTGCTGGAGCACCTCACTCTGCTGCGCCTGGAGGAGGCGCGCGCGGAGTGGGCGGAGCGGGGGGAGAGCGAGTTGGGGGATGGCGCATGGGGGATGGAGGGGGACAGGGACACGGACGGGGGACAGAGTGGGGGATTAGCGCATGTGGAGGAGAGTGAGGGGGAGGGCGGATGGGGGGAAGAAGAGGCGCTGATGGCGCAGGCCAGGGCTGCTGCAGAGGCTTCGCGCGCTGCTGCTAGGGCGAGGCGTGGGGGAGAGGGGGAAGGGGGGGAAGCGGAAGGAGGGATGGGAGGAGTAGCTGATTGGGTGGGAGGGGTGGGAGGCCCACCGACCTTGCAACAGGGGTCGCCTCGCAGGGGGTTAGGAGGAAGGGAAGTTAGCGACAGAGAGAGCATGGCGAATGGGGGGATGAGTGCAGCCGTGAGTGTGGCTGAGGCTGTAGCTGACGTGGCACTGATGGTGGAGCAGGAGTTGGAGCGAGAGAGGAGGCGAGAGCAGGAGGCGGTGCTGCTGGGCGGGGTCACAAGCCCTCCTGGAGCGCGCCCAGCAGTGCCGGCCTCATGGCAGCAGCCGTGGTGGCTGTCGCCTGCTGCCCCACCTGCTGCTGCTGTCTTTTCTGCCTCTGCTGCTGGCTGGCATGCATCGACTGGCATGAACGGTGTCAAGGGCGATGGCATGCCAATCAAGGGAGCAGCTGGGGCAGGTGGGGTCATGGAGAGACGAGCTGGGGGATTTGCAGAGTTCAGTGGGCGAAGTGGGGTAGGCTTTGCTGCGTTTGCTGGCAACGGGGCAGGTGGTGAGCAGCAGGGTGATGGCAAGGCAGCTGGCAGACAGCAGGCAGGCGCAGGTGAAGAGGTCATTGTGGACACCAAGGGGAACGCAGGCAATGCACGGCCAGGTTTCAAGATTGACAATCCTATACGTGCTGGAAAGCCATTATCCCCACTTTTCACACTAATGAGAAGGTAGTGCCCACTGGTGCAGCACTGCTGGCTGGCATCTGCACACAAGCCTCATCTGTACTATAAGTGCAAGGAACAGACCCTAGATAGACTTCAGATGCACGAATAGCACCTGTAGGCAGGTACCACCACCAATTCCACATTGATTTATTGAACTTCATTAATTATATAACACCCTCATCAAGAGGGACGGTGGTGATGTCAACTCTGCAACACAAGGCAATGTGGCAAGGAATGTAGGAGCTACTATGCCAAAGCTAGATCCTAACAACTGGATGGGTCACTGCGCTGCTCCCGTGTATGCTCACGTGGGCACGTCAAATGTGTGCTCACATGTGCATTATCTCAAAACAAGGGGATGCTGCATGCTTGGGCGAGGCTCAGAGGAACTTGGCGAGGTTGTCTTTGAGGTCCTCGATCTTGGCGCCCGTGTGGCTGTGCACCAACTCGCCTCCGCGGAAGAAACGGAAGTTGGGCACCGCCCGCACGCCCCACTCGCGCATCAGCGCCTGCTCGGGAAAAAAGGGGTTACAAATGGTTGCATTCAGGGGAAAGTGCAGGGAAACACAATTCCAGTCGCATTGGAGCCAATGAAAGGGAACAGAGAGCGACTACTAGCTGCATCTGGGGAGAATGAGAAACCAAAGTGTTCAGAGACTGACACAGGGAATACAGGAAACAGGTTGAGAGGAAAAGAGGTGGTCGAGAGGAGGTTGTTAAGGAAGGACCTTGGTGCTGTCGTCGTGGTCGCCGTTGATCTTGAGGAAGACGGCGTTGGGGTGCTCGAGGCTGAGCTCCACCACCTTGGGGAAGATGAACTTGCACGGCCCGCACGTCCGCGTCGAGATGTCCAGCACCACCTGCGCGCCAAGCCGCGACGGGTTTACCATGGAATGGGGCCGTTGGATAACCAGGATACGTCATATACTGGTTCGAGGTTTGTGCGCGATGCAGCTTTTGACTCTATAAAACGAGGGAATGTGTATTTTGGGTTCTTCAGCGCGCCGAATGTGATGCTAAACAAAGTGGATAACTGCCGGTTGTAATCCCCGTGGTGTCAATGCAATGATGCCAATGCGTGTGTCTTCTAAGTGGGTAGAATGTCTCAAGTCACGTCAAACGCAACTCCAGAAGCAGGAGGCAGAAACTACTCACCAGCTTATCGCCAGCCTTGGCAACTTGATCGTTGAACTCCTCTCCTGCTCAAACAAGCGTTATCACAACGTCAGCGATAACTGTTCACGCCTTAAGTCACGGCAAGCAACGACGTCAGCAACTCACGGCTCGTGATTTCAACGACGTTGCCATATCCATTGGGCCCGAGCCGCTCGAGATCGGCCGCTGAGAGCGACGCGGAGCAGCGCAACGTTTGACGGCGAGCAACGAGCGTAAACGACGCCGGGGCGACCAGTCTGACTGTCCTCCGCATGGGAAGGGCGGCGCGGCTCTGTGCTAGTTGAGGAGCCGCGACCAGCGAGCTGCGGATTGCCAAAGCATCCATGTCTGCTCTGATTTGACGAGGCGAGGCGGAGCAGTGGTGGATTGCTAGAAGCAAATTGCGTCGAACTAGCTATTGTGCTGGTGAATGGAAGAAAAACGGGCTGCCGTGGCTTATCAAATGGCTGGTTGCTGTGGTGCTGCTGTGGTGAATGTGACGTCCAATTGCGCGACGTACATTCCCCCGATGGTAACGCGTAATAGTTCGCGACGAAGAATGTGGCGGTGGAATTGTGTGGAAGTTGAGGGCTCGTGATCCGTCAGCGACAGGATTAACGAAGATTGCGAAGGATGACCTGTCCACACTGTTTCCACCAACCAGCTGCTTGGCAGAATTCCACGTGGCGGGCAGAGCCCAAGGACAAACACGGAGCACAAACCACGAGACGACCAGCTGGAACATGAGGTTCCACGAAATATTGATATTGTACAGTTACAACGCTCTAATGAGTTGTGTTCTAGCACGTGAAACTCATTTAACAGAAATCATATACGAAATTACATTTCAGCTTCTATAAGCTCTTCAATGGCACTTACAAATCCAGGAAGCATCAAACCGCAACCTCCAGGAATAGTGTCTAGTGTCTCAGTAACCACCTCGTGACCTTGCCTTCTGCATACGTCCCAATGCCCTATCACCTTACCGCAGGCATTCGAATCAATACTCGCATCCTCCTTTGAGCAGTCCACATTGGAAGATTCCTGGCATTGATGTATGTTCAGGCAAGAGAGTTCTCCATGGCAGGACACAATCCAGAGTTTCGACTGGGGAGCTCCATGTGGAACTTGCAACGACCGTGACTCGTCGTAGTAACGCTCAGACCGATGGCCAACATTAGGCTCTGAGAGGAATGGAGGGATCCATGTGCCACAATAAGAGTCCAAGCCTTCACTTCCTGCAGCACAAGCGCATCGCTGCGGCGGCACACTCGCAGTGCACCCATTCCCTCCTGATCTCTCCGCTCCTGCACTTCCACCAGAATCAGTGTCAAATGTAGATTCCTCCCGGTGTGCCCACTGTGCGAAGCTGATAGCAGCAGCGGTACTAGCGAATGCACGTCTGCTCACAGCAGCATTGAGTGCAGCAGCCACCCCCTCCAATGCCCCCACAACGCCTGCAGCACCCGTACAGCCCACTGTCGGCCCCCATAGGCTGAGCATGCTGCCTCTGATGCGCATGCAGGGAGCAAGCGTGGGAGCAGCCGGGGGTGGTTCCAGGGACAGACCAAGGAGGCGCGATATGGAGAGAGGGCAGCGGGCTGGCTGGTTGAAGGAGCGCGGCAGTGAGAGGTGAGGGGTGGGGGGCTGGTGAGCATGGGATTGAAAGCGGTCAGATGAGAGAGGAGCCGACAATGGGTGGGGAGAAGGTGCGTTACTGGTGGGAGAAAGAGGAGGGGAGGGGAGGTGGAGAGAGGACGTGGGGGAGGAGGCCTGGCCGTCCGGCTGCTTCAAAGTGGGCGAGAGGGGCGAGGCGAAGGGGTGGATGGGGAAGAGGTGCGAGGTGCCGTGGGTGGAGAGCAGGGCGAGCAGTGAGGAGTCGGGGGAGAAGGCAATGGCTCGAGGGACCTGCTCCGTGCAGGGGGGAGGGGAGACGGACAGGGACGACCAAGGGCACTCAATGAGCAACAACAGACAGGTTCAAGTCGTAAGGGCCATTTTTCATTGCAAGATTTTGGCGCTACACCATGTCGTCAGTATGAAATCTCGTCCCATCGCCCCAGCAGTTCCAAAACCCAGTATGACTCACCGAGTGTGTGAGCCCACGCTGCAGCCGGTACAGCAACACTGCTCCCCCCTCCCCTGCAAGCGACCCATCCCCCCACTGCTGTTGCTGCTGCTGCCACCCCCTGGGGCGGCCGTCAATGCGCCACACGCCCACCGTGGTGCCGTGCAGGGAGGCCGCCGCCAGCAGCACGCCCAGCGGGTCGAACTGCAACACTGCGAGGGGTGATGCTTCGAGGGCAGGGAAGCACGCGATTGGCTGGCGGGAAACAAGGTCATGCACCATGATGTGCGGGTGAGAGGGAGCGAGCATTGGCGCGGGGCGAAGCGGGGAGAGCGTGGAGTGGAGGAGGGTGGGGGAGCGTGATGGCAAGGAGGGAGTGTGTGGGGCAGCGTAGGCCAGCCAGCGCGGGCCCAGAGCTAGAGGAATGGAGGTGGGCGGGAGACTGTTGGCGTCTGCAGTTGAGGCGGACGTGGAGGGGTGCGAAGATCCCGATGTGGAAAGGTTTTTGGAGTGCTCAGGTGAGGGGCGATCGGCGAGAGATGGTGGGAGGAGCGCGTGAGGGATGGGGTGTGTGAGGAGGGAGAAGGTGGGGGTGAGGGCGGTGGGGCTGTAGCAGAAGAGCTGCTCCCTCTGCACCACCACTATCGCCCTGCCACTCGCCCGCACGCCCACCACTGTTCCTTCCACTTCTACGCTGCCCACCATGGCGTGCTGTCGCAGTGAGTACAGCGCCACTCGTGTCACCCCCACCACTCGCGGGTTCATACCGTCACTGCCTGCAGCACTCCCTGCCCTGCTCCCTCTGCTTGTGTGCGCCACTCCATTGCACCTCCCACACCCCAATGCACCCCCCTCCTGCTCCCTTCGATGCCTTGCTAGCTGTTCTTGTCTCCTCTCCATGCAACGTTGTTCCCCCTCTGACGCTTCTTCCTGCTCCTGCTTTGCCTCACATCCCTGCTCGCCCCCCTGTGCATCATCACTGCCCCCCTGCTGCACTCGCTCCAAGTCGGAACCAACGCTGCCACTCACTTCTCCCCCCACCCCTCTGCAATACTCCCACTCGCACTCCCCTGGCATCCATCCCACGCCCTCTTCCTTCACCCCACCACGCCTTGCCTCGTGATCCACCCCCTCCACTTCGCCCCCCGTTTCCTCCATGCCGCCTGCCTGCTCGCTGCACGCACAATGGTTGCTGGAAGCAGGGAAGACGACGCACACGAGGGGTCGGCACGCGGCAAACCTGTCGCAGCCGTCGTTGCCATCCGTCTCGTGGTCGCCTGTGGATTGCATAGCCGTGGATTCTGGGGTGGTTGGCGGCGACTGCATGAGCGGATGCGGCACGGTGGGGTGTGGCACGGCGCACAGCATGGACACGAGCTCGCCACGCCACGACACAAGCTGAGAGGGTGATGGAGCCATAGCGCTATCGCTGCCACCACCACTGCTAGTGCTTCCGCGGTTGTCCCCCCTGGCATTGGCGCTGCTACCGGCAGCGCGGGTGCAGGGTGGCGAGGAGGTGGCCTGCAGGTCCCACACGTGGAAGCCGGTGGAGTAGGCGACGAGCAGCACGTGTCGCCGCGACGAGCGGCTCATGTGCAGCCAGTCGAAGCCCACCCACACCACCTGCCACACGGCACACAAGGACTTGAGCATAAGCGGTCGCGAGCTCACTGCCATAGCAGACACAGCACCGATTTCACTCATGGCCCCTGACTAACGCTTTCCGAGATCTGCAGAATCCACTTGACTGACAATTTCCGCCACGCACCTCGTCCTTCGCTTCGAATCTCGCCTTCACCGCCTTTGCTGCCTTGACGACCGTAGACACCGTCGCACTGACCAGATCCATGGCCGTCTCCATAGCCGCTCGCGCGTTAGTTTGCTAGCGGAAAGCGACACGCTACTAGCCCCCACCATTCCACATCCGATCGGAAAGAAGCGAGTCGTTGCTCGCGGATCTCGTTTCAAACTGGTTGCAACAGCTTGACGTCCTGCTCTTCCTCCTGCTTTCTCGCCCATCACCACCACCGCTCCGCCATCCACAAATCTGCATGTCCCCTCACTCGCAGCCCGCACGGGAAGTCACGCTCACTCTCCGCTCAACTTGCTGGCGTGAATTCTGGAATCCTCCGTCAGCATGCAGCAATGCACGCCGTGACATCCCTCACCAAAGCTGTCGCTTGGGCGACAAGTGAACGTTGCCGATCGGACTGAGCGACTTCGAACCGTACGAAAACATCGAGGTCTTGCGAAGCGCGTGCTGTGATTGGCTTGTGTTGCGTGCGATGCCGCTCGCGACAGCTCGCTGGTTAATTCGCTTTGCGCCGAAGTTGCGTCATCTGTACGCTTTCTCCCAGCAGACGCATTATTTGCATGAACACTTGAGTCAACAATACATAATTCGTCATAACAAATAATGCACAATAGGTGAGAAAACTACAATTGCTTCTCACCCTCTCTAAGCTTGGTTTGCTGGCTTGGCACCAGGGGATCTGGTCCTCTGAGCCGCCTGTCTCTAGGCTCTTGGAAATTAGGTGCAACCCCTAAGCCGGATGAAGTGGTTGAAGCGAAGGGCCATGATGGCGACAGTGCCACGACCTGGCCGATGACAATGAGCGTGGGTGACACGAGTTGAGCCGCTGACACGGCTGCTGGCAGATCCTCCAGCGTGGCAAACACCTGCAACCCACACAAGAAAAGCCACATAGTTCGTAATTAAGTATGATGTAATGTGTATGGTGCATAGCAAAGCCTGTGCATGTCGGTCCTCCTCATGCCACCACTCATGCGTACAACGACAGCGGCAATCACACACACCACCAGCCATCACATGACATGACTCACAGTGCGCTGAGCAGCGGTGGTGCCTCGCTCCACCGCCACAGCAGGAGTGTCAGCCGGCAGCCCATTGGCCAGCAGGCGGGCGGCAAGGCTGGGCAGCGTGGCGAGGCCCATGTAGACCACGAGGGTGGCGTCGGGGTCCGCCGCTGTGCTGGCGGCATACAGGGGGTCGCCGCCTCCCTTGCGCTTGTGCCCCGTAAGGAACCGCACACTGCAGCACAAGAGGCAAGGTGACGTGGGTAGGCCAGGTAGGCTTGAGGCGCGGACGTGTGGAGGGCTGGGACCACCGCGGAGGTGGAGGCTGCAAGTGCAAGGAAGCGACGCGTGCATGCTGGAACAGCAGGAGCAGAGGGCGGGGGCATGAGAAGCAGAGCATGTGGGTGGGCACGGAACAGCCGCACGCCCAAGCTTAAACTGCTTACCTGTTGGCGACGCCGCGGTGGGTGAGAGGCACGCCAAGTTCAGCAGCGATGCCAGAGGCGGCGGTGATGCCGGGCACGATGTGCACGCGGATGCCGTGCGCCTGCAGGTGCTCCATCTCCTCGCCGCCCCGCCCGAACACCAGCGGGTCGCCGCCCTTGAGGCGCACCACCACGGCGCCCGCCTCCGCGAAGGCGAGCAGCAGGTGCAGGATCTCCGCCTGCGTGCGCGTGTGGTACCCCGCCGCCTTCCCCACGTACAGCAGCCGCGCGGACGGCGCGGCCAGGCGCAGAATGGCGGGCGAGACGAGGCGGTCGTAGAGCACGAGGTCCGCCGACTGAAGCGCGCGCACCGCCTTCACTGTGAGGAGGGCGGGGGGTGTGAGGGGGCAGGGGGAGTGGGGGGAACGCATGAGTTGAAATGCGCGAGAGACCGGGAGTGGGACTGCGTATGGTGGATGAGTCGCGGCTGAGGATGCAGGGCAGCATGAAAGCAGCGCGAGCGAAGCGGAGGGTAAAAGGGGTTGAGGGGGAGGGTAGGGAAGAGGGGTTGAGGGAGGGAGAGGGGAAGGAGGTGGGGGGAAGTGGGGGAAGGAAAGGGCGGGTGGGGAACTGACGAGTGAGGAGGTCGGGGTCGCCAGGCCCAGTCCCCACCAGAAACACATTCCCAGGGCCCTCGCTGCGGGCCCCTTTTTTCGCTTGCGCCCGCCCCTGCTGCTGCGCCGCTCCGCTCTGCGCCTTAGCTCGCAGCAGCTCCAGCATTTCGCGCAGCTCGGGAAGGCGATCCGCGATGTCCACCTCGGGAATGTCGTCCTCGTCGTCCTCGCCGGCCTCTGAAGCCAAGCTGAGTCGCTCGCTCCAACTCGATTCCCCTTCCGCAGCCCGCTCGGAATCTACAGCGAAGCAGGGCTCAGGGTTTACGTCTGATACGTCTGACGTCATCGCTGCGTCGGCGTCAGCGAGCAGCTGCAGCGCACCGTCCACTCCGGGAAGCGCTCGAGATCGGCACTCGTCGGACGACGGCTCCTCCTCGCGGCGTGGCGCTCCTCCGCTGCCGCTCTCCGCGATCCGCCAGTCCCACGGCCGCGCGTCCCTCACCTCCACGAACGGCGACTCGGCGGCGGATTGCGCGCTGCCGATCAGCCATCGGTCGGGACGGGACGGGCTCGATGCGGCGGAGAGGTTGGGCTGGTGGGCATGGGGCTGGCTGCACGGGCTGTGCACGGCTCGCGCTGCCGCCGCTGATGCATTTGCGGATATTCCGCAGAAAGGTCTACTGCCGCGCGGTGCGAAACGCGCTTCCCGGCGCGAGACGCTGTGACTGGCGAGAAAGGCATTGTAGCGCAACGTTCTAGTAGCGATCCCTGCGGGATCGCTGCTCACGACAACTGCCATGGCTTCTGCGGAGACTAGCGCTTACTCAAAATGTCTTCCCGATCCAACAACCGCTGTCGACTAGGATGGTAAGTGGTCAGAGCGTGCTTTTCCTACATGTGAAAAACAGATAGCTTTTGTATCGCTGACTGATTTCTGGAGGTAATGCGTGACAAGCAAGCAAGCAACGTGAGCGTGCCTCCCTTGGCCTGCTGTTTGCCTCATCCCCCGTCCGTCCCTCCTGAGTGCGTCGCTCGCCAAGGGACCCAGCCACACGCCCCCTGCTGTTCGCTCGTCTTCCTCTCATCGGCAGCACCGTCCTTTCTGATCACGGTTGGGCTATCTATTGCCTGCGTGTAGCGGTAAAGCTGACGCTTTGTCGCTCGCCCGGGCAGAAAATATCGCCTGGCTTCTCCAAAAAGCATGTAACCCTCCCGCAGGCTGGAAACAGCAGCCTTTCAGATGCCAACCGGTTGAAATCTGAATTTGGCGCCTGTAAGTAAGCGCCACGTGGGGCTGTTCCGTAAACTCCGCCCCGTTTCTGACATTCTTGATGACAGTAAAACTCATGTTTTACTGTATCTGTATAGTACATTCCTTCATGCTACCAAAGGTAAACGGACCATCGACAATGTGGAGACATCGTGTATCGAGTACTCCACGTGTATCTAAAAATTCCAGCTGTCAGTCGTCTGAGCGCCCTAAAGATTGGGCAACAATCCGTGTGATCACCTCGAGAGACCCTTTTTGCCTTGCCTGGCTCGTGACATTTTCGAGAATTCGCCCTTCCGAGCTCGTCTGTTGGCCCCTCCCTGGGTCACTCATCGTAGTCTGGTGCTTCATCAAGCCCCATATTCACTCAACCAGCTCATTCTCTAAGTTCCTTGTCGTTCCTCGTCCTCGCAATTGCGTGCTATAGCAGCCACGGCCCGATTTTCGCTGACATTACTCGTTTTGAAGGTTCCCAATTCATCGAAAATAAAAAATCTCTAGCCAGCAAATCGAGGCGTCAGCTATGGCCGCACTACTTCAGAGCATTGAGGTGCCTGTCGCACCCTTGCGGGCACCGCAACCGCTCCGAAAAAATCAACGGCTCTCGTCACTCGCTAACATCTCCATCCAGTCTTCCAGATCACTCACATCCTCACTGACCATCAAATTCCACGTGTCCACAAAGAATTTTAGAAATTCCCGCCGAGTAGCGTTCCGGGCAGCAGCGGGCGAGAGCGGCGCGAAGAAGGCGAGTTTGAGCGAGCGGCGACCGGAGGAGGTGAATGTGGTGGTGGTGGGCCCCACGGGGTACATCGGCAAGTTCGTCACTCGCGAGCTCATCAAGCGCGGCTACAACGTCACCGCAGGTGCGCGCGCACAATGATACACCAGATAATGCCGAAATCTGAGGAGCCTCAACAATCGCGCTTTATATTCGTCTCTCCCCCGTTGTCCGATCCTGCCGTGTGCTCTGCGCCGCGTGCGGTGGTGGTCGCAGTGGCGCGCGAGCGGAGCGGCATTGGCGGGAAGAAGTCGGCGGAGGATACGGCGAAGGAGCTGGAGGGCGCGACGATGCTGTTCGCGGACGTGACGAGCGAGGAGGCGCTCTCTCAAGCGCTGGCCGGCAAGAATGTCGACGTCGTCGTGTCGTGCCTCGCCAGCCGCACGGGCGGCATCAAGGTGAGACGCGGCAGCCGCGAGGAGGGCTGCGAGAGGGTCTGAAGCGAGAGAGAGAGAAGAATGGGATTTGATGTATGCACAGATGCCGACTTGTGAGCGAAACATTATAGATGACAGTCAACATATATCTTCATTAAATGGAATGGTTTGGGTGGTGCGTGTGTGCGGCACGTGTTTGACGAGTGCAGGACTCGTGGCTGATCGACTACACGGCGACGAAGAACAGCCTGGAGGCCGGCAAGAAGGCGGGCGCCTCCCACTTCGTGCTGCTCTCAGGTATGCTTGGCTGCCATGCCAGCTGCTGCTGCTTCCTGCTAATTCTCGTCTTGCAATCTCGTCGTCAAAATCCCTCATTGTCCCCGCGACCGTGTGTGCGACCGTGTATGCGATGCGACCGTGTGTGCGACCGTGTATGCGACCATGTGTGCGCCCGTGTATGCGACCGTGTGTGCGCCCGTGTTGTGTGCGCGCAGCCATCTGCGTGCAGCGGCCGCTGCTGGAGTTTCAGCGCGCGAAGCTCAAGTTCGAGAAGGAGCTGCAGGAAGACCCCGCCGTCACGCACAGCATCGTGCGCCCCACCGCCTTCTTCAAGTCGCTCGGCGGCCAGGTGCGCTGCGGTGGGATGCGGTGAGATGTAGGTCAGGTGTACCTGGTGAGATGATCACATCTCCAGATGATGCGAAAGGTCGTTGCAGCAGTAATGAGGCATGGCATGTGGGGGTGAGCCATGCCATGCAGGAGGGAGGCATGCCATGCACGAGTGAGACATGCCATGCAGGAGGGAGGCATGCCGTGCAGCAGCTGACCAATGGAATCACACGTCCTTGATAGTGCGGTTAATTGATGTCCGTACCCCTTGCTACATATGGGCGTGCGTGTGTGTCTGTGTGGGTGTCTATGAGCGTGTGTGCTGGCAGGTGGAGAGTGTGAAGGGGGGCGGCCCCTACGTGATGTTTGGAGACGGGCAGCTGTGTGCGTGCAAGCCCATCAGTGAGGCGGACCTCGCTGCCTTCATTGCTGACTGCGTGCAAGGTGAGACACGCAGCTGCACGTATGCGGTCATGCCACTCACAACCTGCAAGTCCATAGGATGAACGCACACACAAGGAAAGCCAATTGACCCAAAAGATGCTCCTGACGTATTCAAGAAAAGAAAAACCTGGCATGGATGTAACCCCGCCTCGCCCCCTCCCTCATTCCACCACACGCCCGTCCTCTTGACCCGACCACCCGGCCAGGCGAGGACAAGGTGAACAAGGTGCTGCCCATCGGGGGACCAGGGGAGGCGCTGACGCCGCTGCAGCAGGGGGAGATGCTGTTTCAAGTGGTGGGCAAGGAGCCCAAGTTCATCAAGGTGCCCATCGGCATCATGGACTTCGTCATCGGTATCCTTGACGTGCTCGCCAAGCCCTTCCCCTCGCTGGCGGACGCGGCGGAGTTTGGCAAGATTGGGCGGTACTACGCGGCAGAGAGCATGCTCGTGTGGGATGAGCAGAAGCAGCGGTACGACGCGGATGCTACGCCGAGCTATGGTAGTGATACGCTGAGAGATTTCTTTGAGAAGGTGGTGCGCGATGGCATGGAGGGGCAGGAGCTGGGCGACCAGGCCGTGTTCAAATGAGGCGCTGGGAGGAGCTGCTGCTGGGGGATGGCGGGGTGTGCTTGAGTGATTGTGTATTGCACAATAATAATGGGAAAACCCTACGTAATTATGACCCTGTTCATGGTGTCTGGGATGAGGAGTGGGGTGCGGATGCTTGGTGGCAAGGCCCGTGGTGAGGAAGGCTGGGAGCACAGGGATGTGGTCAGCAGTTATATCTTTCAGTATGCAGAGAACCGGTGCTTGAGGGAGCAGGGCGTGCTACAGCATGTGAGGTGAGCTGAGGTGGAAGGCAACTGTGCCCCACACACTCGTTTGTGCACCTGTGTACCAGTAGTAAGGGCGTGTTACATTTTTTTAAGTCGCTGAAAGTCCGGACGGCTGTCCGGAGGCCCTCAGATTCACTTTTAGGCACGTAAGGGTATCAGGGTCCCTCTGCCCCTAGACCCTGATCGTCAGGGTCGCCTAAAAAAAAAGCCTGAAAGTTCAGTGTTACTTTAAAAAAAAGTCTGATGCATCAGTGTTCCCTACAGAAAAAGGCTGATACTAGTAGTCTTTATTTTACTAGTAGTAAAAACACTAGGAAGGAAGCAAACAGCAGAACGGGATGTGAGGCTGGATAGCAGGTAGCACGGCTGGGAGGCGTGGATGCATCAGTGCTTGCCAGCACGACCTAGACCGCCAGAATCCCTCGCAGCGCAGCCTGCCAGCATCTCTGTGCTGCAACCTTGTAATTGGTCAAGTCACATAATGTTGCAAATGTGGCCAATGAACGGACCAGGCGCGCCAACTAAGGGGCCATCAGTGTGGGCAAAATTGTCCGATAGTCAACGACAGGCCCTGCTGACACCGCGGGAATCTGATTTTCCCAGTACTTCCGGTCAAGTACACTCGTACCTAGTAGGATTCGCTTTCAGGGTCAAACTCATTACAATGTAAAGGCATCAGTGTCACTTCAAAAAAATTGCTGAAAGTTCAGAGTCATGTGGCATGTGAAGGCTGAAAAATCAGCCCTAGGAACAGCTGAACACTGGATTTTCAGGGTAGGTAAAAAAAAAACCCTGAAAATCAGGAATTTCAGGGTAAAATTCCTGATATCGTAGGGCCTCCGGACGCGTGCGAAGATTGCGACGTCGCGCGGTCGCGTTGCGGCCAATGCGATGTCGTAAGAAGGCAATACGAAGAATGCGACGTCGTTTAGACCCTGACGAACTCACTGCCGAGATTTAACGAGTTCCGTAACCACAGAATCGTCCGGACGGTCGGCCGTCCGGACGAAAGAAATGAAAAATGTAACACGCCCTAACGCTCAAAGCCTTCATTTAGTGGGGCATGTCTGCTTGGATGTCAGTAATACGGTAGCACAAGGATGAAATGTACAATATGAGGGATCTAAAGATACTACCTATCCTAAGCATTTCCAAACAGACGAAGGCACTATGCTAGAGCTTTGCCAACACTACCACTAGACTAGTCCTAGCCGCAGGTAAGCCTTACAGCACGGTCTACTCATGGAAGACTGTGATGTCTACATCGCACCATTAGTCAATGCATGCTCCCACATCACATGATGGTTGACATGACGGCAGCATGGGGCAGCACCTTCCCCACAAACACATACGCCCCTCCACCCAGCAGCAGGGCGCCACTGGCAGGGTTGATCCACCCTGAGTACCGACGGACGGCTGAGATCTGTTTGAGCGCGCCCGTGCACGAGGCGGCGAGCAGCAGCGGTGTGGCGAAGCCCATCGTGTAGCTCAGCAGCAGCGCACCGCCTGTCACCGCATCCTGCAAGGGAGGAGACGGAGGAAACAGAAGGGGGAGGGGGGACTGGTGAGGACAAGGGGCGGAAAGAGGCAAGCAACAGATGGAGGGTGCTAGTGGGTGAAGCGGCCGGTGTGCTTTGTCTATGGCTTTCGTTCTTCCTCCGTTTGTCTGCTGTAAGCTTCCGCAAGAGCCACCAACCCACCAGGGGGTCCGCGAGTTACACACATCAGCCCCCACACCCTCTGCCCCTCCCACCGACTCACCCTGGTGGACGCGACGAACGCGAGCAGCGAGGCGAGCACGGGCGTGCAGCACGGCGACGCCACGAACGCGAACGCCGCTCCGCCCGCCGCCATCTGCAGCGCCACGGGCACCCACCCGCTCACCGCGGAGGGGCTGAATCGCGCCGCCACAGGCGCGGGCAGGCGAACGGGCAGCAGGCCGAGCAGGTGCAGCCCTGCCAGCATGGCCACCAGCGACACGGCGGCCGGCAGCGCGCCGCCCACGTCGCCCACAGCGTGCTGGCCGGCGAGCGCGGCGGCGACGCCCATGGCGGTGCGCGTGGCGGCGAGGCCGAGCGTGAAGAAAAAGCAGTTGACCGGCACGCTGGCGGCGCGCGCGGACGGCGCGTCGGGGAGTGGTGGGGGGGAGTCCTCGGCGGAGCAGCAACAGGGCGGGGGAGAGGAGGGAGAGGCGGATGCGGATTGGGGCGGCGAGGGGCCGGCCGGGGGGGAGTCGAATCCGGCAATGAAGCCTACGGTGAGAGGCAGCAGGCTGAGCGTGCACGGCGCGAAGCTCGTTAGCAGCCCTGCGACGTAGATGATCGCGAGAGTCGCGGGCGACAAGGCAGCAAGGTCGTGCGACTCCGCCAGGTGGCTTGCGAGGTAGAGAAACTCGTCCACGTTGTCTTGGAGAGCGAACGCAACGTCCTGCCACGTTTCAACTGCTGATTCGAAGTCGAAATTGGGGAAGAGGTTAAGAACGGTTGACAGGTCGGGCAGCGAGGCGAGGAAGAATTGACTCGATGATGACGTGGCAATCATGTGATCCGCGGCGAGCGAGTCAACCGCGTGTTGCGACTCGGAAATAAGAGCGGCAGCAGCTGCGGGTGACGTCATAATGAGCGGAAGCAGGGCGGCGGGCAGAAGCGGCACGGGAAGTGATCGGCGCGGCGTGTCTGCAGCTGTCGTGCGACTCGCGCCTGGAGAGCTCGAGCTACTAGCTTCAAGTCTCCGCGATTCATTTCCAGACGGCACATGCTGTCGCGGCTGTGCTCCAAGTGCGATGTTTGGCGAGCGGCGACTCGTGGCCTGAGAGCGTCGAGGCTGGATTCCGGCATGCTCTCGAGTGCGAGGGAGACATGGTTGCGCAATGCACGCTGCTCTAAGAACAGAAAGAACGGCCATGGACGTTAATTGTGTTTAATGTTACGAGAAAACGAGGCCTGAGGGGGCACGGGATCAAGGCAGCTGCAAAGGTCTATGCGCTTGCATTGGGCTAGCATGACTTACTACTCGGTTCTTATAAATACCTAAGTGGGGTTTGGAAAGTCTGCGACTCGAGCGTTTGTTGGGAATTGAAGGTCATCCTCCCGTACGAACAAAAAGTACGCGGGAGGTGGTCAGTCAATTTGAGGGATTGTAGATCAACATCTGTCGCCAGCATCGCAGATGGGCGCGGGTCATCGCCAAGCATGTAAAATTCGCCAGGTGTCGCCACCGACCCCTCAACCCTGCCTTACCCAGGGTGTAGTACGACGCGATACGATCGCGTACGAGACCAGCTTTGTCGCCCTGTCGTACGAGTTTCGGCCATTATCTCCGATACTCAGATTTTTCCTGAGCGCGTTCTCAGGTGTAATCAACCTGGACTTTCTCAACGTTGATTGGTCGTCGCTTTTTAGTCACATTTCTCACGCTGGTCGAACTCATTAGGAAGCGACAAAAACAGAACCATCCACTTTACCCTCCCGACCTGGATATATGTACGGAAATTAAGGTAGCAAGAGAATGAAGCCCATATAATTCACTTGGTAGTGCTCAGTAGCGCAACCCACCGCTAAACAACGCTACCGAAAGCACTAGACGACGCCACCGAGACCTATTCGGGCATGGCAGAAAAAAATATAACCCCTAGGGAACCTGGATGCATTTTCGAGAGGGGTCAACCCTAAACACGGAAATGGGCATTGTTTTTAGGGTTGATGCCTCCCGAGTCGCATCCCTTTCCGAGGTGGATAATATATTTTTTTTTTGTCAAGTGGGTTGCAATATGTTCTCCAAAATATTTGGAGGCTTTCGGTGTTTAGGGTTGATCCTTCCCGGAAAACATATAGGTTCGCTACGGGCATTATATTTATTTATTGCAAGTGCTTGACTTCCTTTTTTTGAGTGACTGTATATAAGCAAGAGACAGAATAGCTTCACATTATATCGAGAAACTGTGTTTCTGTTGGTGATTACACCTGAGAACGCGCTCAGGCATAATCTGAGTATCGGAGATAATGGCCGTACGAGTTTGTTGTGGCGCAACTGGCGTGAATTTTGCTCTGCAATAGCAGAAGCGTACGTTCTGCAGATCCTCCTCGGAGCTACTGGTGGTAGCGACGCGTGTCTTGTCGAGGTGTACGAGGCGCAAGTCAGATCTGTGTCGGGACGTGCACTTGGGATTCACGACTCACGGGCTGTACAGTACAGTACGATCCGACGTGTGATGACTTGTCAGTTCCAACATTTTTCTACCCCTGCGACTAGCACACTCGTTTGTAAGCGTCATGAATTCGCCACTGCTGAAAAACCCGTTCCTTTAACCAATGGAAAATTGCTAGAAAAACAAAGCCACCTTTTATGCACACAAATACACATCACAACCTAGCACAACAAAACAATGTCAGTCAAATTCTAGGAAATCAAGGCACCTTGAGCCCTTTATCAAGGTCAACGGTTCTGGCCCAATATGCTTGGCTGCGTGCCAGCTTGCGTGGCCATAGGAGGCCCGGACAAAAATGGGTCCATTTGGGAGGCAACCGGCGAATAAAAATAGGTCCGTGCCGCATGCACGGACAAACCTGAGGGGGTGGAAGGGACGCCTGGCAGTGCAGTGCCCCACGGGGGTGCATGCCATGCCACCCACGGGTGCATGTGGGGTGGCGGGGTCACAGGCGGCGCCGGGTGGCGCAGGAATGGAGGGGCAGCAGCGGAGGGTGTGTGGTGCTGCAGATATGGGCTGGTGGAGCGCTGCTGCTGTGGCCCTGCTGATAGGGGCGCAGCAGAGTGGTGCAGAGGAGTGGAAGCGAGATGCAGTGGTGCAGTGGCAGGGGCAGATGGGTGGGCTCGTGGGGCTGCATGCATGGGCATGGGCATGGGCATGGGCACAGGCAGCACACCTGGTGGTGCTGACCCGTGGGGTGTGCTGTGCACTGAAGCAGCGGTGGCAGCGACGGCAGCAGAGGCGGTGGAGGAGGCAGAGGAGGAGGACGTGGCAGCAGCAGCAGCATGGGGGGTGGGCGGGCAGGCAGTGGGGGCGAGGCTGGAGGCAGAGGGCAGGGCATGCAGGGGGCTCACATGCGGCACGGGGGAGACAGCAGCAGGCAGGGGGTAGTGGTGTGGGGCGCCATGCCCAGGGGGCGCTGCAGGTGCAGCAGGCAGCAGCAGGGCAGCAGAGGCGGGGGGGCGGGAGGGGCCGAAGAGGAGGGGCGAGCGGAAGAGCAGGTTGGCGATGGCGCGGTCGATGTGGTTCGTCCCACTCTCCTCTCCACGTGCCTCCCCTGCTACCTCTGATGCCGATGCGCCCGCTGTACCGGCACCACCTCTCCCTGGCTCCGACTGACTCCGCCCCTCGTCACTACTCATCCCCGACGACCCTGTCCCCGCCCCCACTCCTGTCCCTCCTCCTGTCTCCCCCCCTGTCTCTGTCTCAGTCGCTGTCACTGCCTGCTCGCCCCGCCCTGCATCGCCCCCAGCGGACGGCCTCAAGCCCCCGGTGGCGCTGCTGCTGTGGGTGCCATTGGCGCCTGCCCCGGCTGTGCTGCGCCCCTTGGCGCTCTGTGCCAGCCGCAGCAGCGCCTCGTGGATGAACCGCCGGCTGCTCGCCGCCAGCTGCGAGGGGGAACAGGAAAGGGGGAGCGGCGAGGGGGGGAAGGAGATGGTGGATGGTTGAGGTCTTGAAAACGAGTTGGGCGAGGATGAGAGTGCAGGACATCTAGTCGAGTACAGGGGAGGTTCGGGTGTAGGGGGGTGAGAGAGAGGGGGTGAGAAGCAGCGGGATGCGAAAGCATACATGCAACAGAGAGTAGCGCGTGTCAAGTGGCAGGAAGCAGGAGGGGCTCACCTTGGCCACAGTGCTCTCCAGCTCGTGCAGAATGGCCGCCTCCATGCCCTCGCTTGCCCCCTCGCCCCCCTGCGCCCCATGCCCCATGCCACTCGCACCACCCCCCCCATGGCCCTGGTTGGCGCGGGCCATGCCCGCCTCGCCACAGTGTGCCGCCTCACTGCCCTCACTCACGCCACTCGCCCCGCTCTCCTCCCCTGCGTCTGCTGCCGCTCCCCTCTCCTCACTGCTGCCTTGCAGTGTCCCACCAGCAGCAGCAGCACCAGCACCAGCAGCACCAGCAGCAGCAGCACCAGCAGCAGCAGCACCAGCAGCATTACCGCCAGCAGCAGCAGCCGCCTCTTGTGCCTCTGCCAGCCCACATGCCGTGCCCTCGCCCTCCCCCTCCCCTACCCCACTCCGCTCCTGAGCCTCCAAAATTTCCTCCTTCCTCGGGCTTGCGAGTGATCGCCCCTCTGCTGCGTCAGCACCGCAAACAGCCATGTCAGCACCGCCCACAGCCATGTCAGCACCGGCCACAGCCATGTCAGCACCGCCCACAGCCATGTCAGCACCGCCCACAGCCATGTCAGCACCGCCCACAGCCATGTCAGCACCGCCCACAGCCATGTCAGCACCGCCCACAGACCCACCATCGTCAGCAGGAGCAGGCAAGCTTAGGTTCTCGAGTGCCCCCCTCACAGCTTCGCCCGGCGATGCAATCGCACACACTGCTGCTGTTGTTGCCGTGGTGCAGTGAGGCTCAACCTCACCCGCTGCTACACCCCCCCCTTCTCGCCTTGCTGCTTCTGCTGCTGCTGCTGCTGAATCTGCTGCTGTTGAGTCTGTGGCTGCTGCACCTGCTGCTGTTGAGTCTGTGGCTGCTGCACCTGCTGCTGTTGAGTTTGCTGCTGCCGCTGTGTCTGCAGCCACGCGTGGGGAGGACACGGCCCTCTGCCCGCCTCCCTGCTGCTCCACGCCCTCTGTCCCACCACCTGCCCCTCGGCTCATCCGCCCCTCGACACCATCCATCGGTCCCTCTTGCCCTCCCTGCCACTCCTCCGCCCTTCCCTGCCTCTTCTCCACGCCAGATAACTGCCGCCCCTTCTCTTGCTGCTCCTGCTGCTCTTGCTGCTCCTGTTGCTCTTGCTGCCCCTGTTGCTCTTGTTGCCGCTGTTGCTCTTGTTGCCGCTGTTGCTCTTGTTGCTGCTGCTGCTCTTGTTGCTGCTGCTGCTGCTGCTGCTGCTGCTGCTGCTGCTGCTGCTGCTGCTGCTGCTGCTGCTGCTGCTGCTGCTGCTGCTGCTGCTGCTGCTGCTGCTGTTCCTGCACACGTTGCTGTTCCTGGTGCTGTGGCTGGTGCAGTTTATGCTGCTGCTGTTGCTGCTCCTGCTGCTCTCCCTGCCCCTGCTGCCCCTGCTGCCCCTGCTGACGGTGCTGCTGTTGCTCCTGCTGCTGCTGCTGCTGCTGCCCCTGCCCCTGTTGCCCCTGCTGCTGCTGCTGTTGCCCCTGCTGCTGCTGCTGTTGCCCCTGCTGCTGCTGCAGTTGCAGCAGGTAGCGCTGCTGCTGTCTGGCCCAAAGCTGCCGCACATCCCACTTCATCCGCTCTCCCCCGCTTCCCATCCGCTCTCCACCCATTCTGGCCGCCTGCCCTGCCCCGACCTTCCCCTCGCTTTCCCCCTTCCCCCCGCCCGCCGCGCTGTCAGTGTGCGCCAGTGGGCTGGGTGGGGGCAGGTGTGGAAGCACCCACACTCCCGGCATGGGAGGCTTGAGAGGGGAGGGGGACGATGGGGGGGGGTGGGAGGGCGACGAAGGGGAGAGCGAGGGGGGAGCGGAGGAGCCAGTGGGAAGGACGGAGGGGGAGCGGGGGGTACAAGGGCGTGGCGCGGAGGCAGCGGGGAGGGGCGCGTGCGGCACGGCTTTGTCCCTCCCCGCTTGCCCCGCAGTGGGCGGAGGGGCGGTGGGGGCACGGGCTGTGGCGGGGGGGCGACGGGTGGGGGCGGGGGAGAGGGAGAGCGAGGGCGAGGCGGCAGGCGGCCTGGAGGAAGAGGAGGACGCGAGCAGCGCGGAACACTGCGAGTCACTGCACGCCCCCCCTCCTTGCTGCTGCCACGCTCCCCCCGCCTGTTGCTGCCACGCGCCACTCGCTGCCGCGCTCGTCCCTGCCCGCTCCCCCCTACCCGTCCCAACAGACCCACACTCCGCCTTTGGCTCCGCCCCCACGCTCCCGGTGCTCTGCTCTGCGTGCGCCTGAGCGCCGTGCTGCTGCTGCTGCTGGTGGCGCAGCGCGGGGTGGTGCTGGTGGAGGGCGAACATGGCGTGCCCCAGCGCCTGCTGCTGCTTCTGCTGCTCCGCCGCTGCCCTCGCCTGCCTCACTGCCATCGTGCTGCCCGTCCCTGCCGTCCCTGCCGTGCCAGCACCAGGCTCGCTCACGGTGCCTGTGCCAGCGAGGGGCGAGGCAGCAGCTGCAGCAGGGGGGGGTGCAGCGGCGGGTGGCGACGGCGTGGCGCGCACTGGGGGCCGCTGAGGCGGCGGGCAGGGGTGCGCGGGAGGCAGGAGGCGGGAAGGGAAGGCGGGCAGCAGCGGTTGCGAGGTGAGCGGGTAGTTGGGGAAGTGGGGGAGGCGGGGCAGGTGGGCGGGAGGGAAGTAGCGGAAGAGATGCGTGGGCGCAGGGCAGGGAGGGATGGGGAGGGCGTGCGAGGGCGGGCGAGAGTAGTGGTAAGGCGCGGGCGAGGGAGTGGGCGCGGCGGAGGCAGGGCGGGCACTGGCGGGCTGGCTTGAGGCGAGAGGCAAGAGCGGCGCAGCGGACATGTGGGGGGCGAAGAAGGGCGGGCAGTAGTTGGGGAAGTGTTGCGGCAGCGAGGGGAAGGGCACGGCGTGCTGTCCCAAGGGCAGCTTTCTGGACGCCGTGGTGCGCTGCTCGCCCTCCCTCCTCCTGCGCGTCGCTGCTCTCCGCCTCGCCTGTGGTGGGCGCATGGCACGGAGACAGGTTGTGTGTGTGAGTGGGTGATTGAGTGGGAGAGCGAGGGAGAGGGTCAGTGGGTGGGTGAGTGAGTGGGTGGATGAGTGAGTGAGTGAGGGGAGGGGCGGCGATGTACCTGCGAGAGGCAGCGCGAGGAGCCACCGGGGCTGGAGCTGCCGGGTGCGCCAGCCTCAGCTGCCGCCCCGCTGCTGCTCACGCTCGCAGCACGCGCGGCGCTGGAGCCACCCTCCCTCGACGGCGCGCTGTCCGCCGCTGCCGTGCGCAGGGCGCAGCTGTGGGCCTGGCAGCACAGCACAGCACACGGTGGGGTACAAAGCACAAATGGCGGCCGTCAGTACACGTACTTCCAGAGAGCGCGCCCCCCCAGCAGCCGCCATCCTGCCGTGCGTGGCGTGGTGTGCGCTGTGCTAGCATGCGAGGCAGCAAGGTATTGTGATGATGGCATGCGCGACACTCGCAGCATGGAAGCACGAATTGCACGCACCTGTGCCACACACGCAGCAGCAGCAGCACCGCCACCATTGCTCAAAAGCCCTGCTCTCGCGGCTCCCTTGCTGTCCGCGTCCGACGCAACAGCGCCATCCGCCTTCGCCCCTCCATCGCCCTCCGCGCCGTCCCCCCATCCCGCGTGGTCGCCCCCCTCCTCGTGTTCCGCCTCCAGCTCCTCCACCGCCCACACCTGCGCCGCGCGCCGCTCCTCCTCGCGGCAACGCTCGTCGGCGGCGCCGGCGGAGGGGAAGGCGCAGGCAGCATCGAGGAGCGCGGGCGCGGGCGGCAGCGGCACGGAGGGATCGGAGGCGGGGCCCCACCACGAGTGCAGGTCGGCGCGCGTGAGATGGGGGAGAGCGTCCGCGGAGGAGGGAGAGGGAGGGTCCGCGGAGGGGAGGGGAAGAAAGTCCCCGGAGGGAAAAGAAAGCGCGTCCGTGGCATAGGCGGACCTGCGGGTAGAGCGAGGCAGACAGGAGGGTAAGGTCAGGTGGGACATGCGAACCGGAGAACGGATATTCCGGCAAGCAAGTCTGACATCGGGAGCACAACGCATCAATGCCGCGTCAGAGCTGACCCACCTCATCAGCTCATCCACGTGGCTCGCCTGCTCGTGACCCCACGGCTCACTTGCCATGCCGTCCACCATCGCGTCCGCGCAAGCCCCGCCTTGCCTGTCCGGGGATCTTGGTAGCTCGGCGCGCGGGAAGGCGCAAGCGGCGCTATGGTCCGCGCGCGCATGAGGACTGTGCTTGCCCACGCCAACGCCATCCCCAGCGCCATTCCCGCCCCCATCCTCCTGCTGCTCTCCCCACCCGTTCACGCAACGCGCGTCCCCTTGTGCTCCCTCGCAGCCTGCCAGCTCGCGCGCCTCTCGCGGACCGTCAACCAAGCGGCCAGACAACAGGTCCTTGCGGCCGCCGTCAGTTTCTGCAACCTCGACCTGTCGCAGTCTCGCAGCGTGCACCGCGTCGCAGCTGGCGTCAACGACACCCGCGGCGTCCCTGTCAGCGTGCGGCGCGGCAAGTTCGTCGTAGTCCTCGAATTGCTCCCACACCTGGTCGTCGAACTGCGCGCCATGCACGCGATTGGACAACACCCACGCATCCCGGTCAGCCATCGCTATCAGCCAAGCTCGAAAGGTTAAAAAATTGCAGGACATATAGGCCATAAATAGTAAGTTTGAGGCGAGAACTTATGAATGTAAGTTGGTTCATTTATTTCACAAAAAGAGATCGGATGTCATTTACTATGTTCCAGACCATCTCGAGCTAAAAGCCTGCAAATTTTGGAAGGTGGTAAGTCGAGCAAGAACGAAGAGGAGGAGATCTGGGCAGCAAAGCGATGTGAGGGTAGCGCACCATGGGCCAACTGTTGACCGCGCAGTCGCCATCCTCCATTTCCCATGCCGATGCCGACATCGCGGTCGAGCCGTCTCGGGATATTCACTACGTATGATACGCGAAACGCCTAGAGCTTACGACCTGGATAAGACTAGGAGTCAAATCGCATGGCTAGAAGAGTCTTGGACCATGAATCTGTGGGAAAGGTTACTGTGGTGGCTGGGTTGATCGGACTGGAGGCAAGGTGTGAGCAAGGGTGCACCATTCAACACGTTCCTTTGGCTTCCCTCGCTCCGTTCCCAAGATTGGCGTCTGGAAGCTGACGATATGGAGGACAGGCTTCATGGGCTGCCCGACACAAGCCAGACTCACACCCGATAACAAATGCTGCAGGAAAGAGCACGAAATTGTTCCTATTATGTGTCAAATGAACTCCCGGGTCACACAAATAAACCGTGTAACGCTCTGAATCGCCATTCTGACGACATCGCCAGATTTTTGCCGAGAAAAAATCTTCCGACAGGCGGTCCTCAGCCACAGGATGGATTCCCTCCAAAGCGAAGCTGCTCTGCTTTGTCGCTCGCTCGGTTCAGTCAGACTCGCCCGGATCCACCGCGTGCGACCGGAGCCACTCGTAATTCCCAAAGGTGCTTTACGAAAAAAATCTCGAGAGTGGTCTTGATTTTTGGCCGTGGCTTGGTGTTTCCGGGCAGATGGGCGTTTGTCCATGTCCGCAGCTGCCCATTCCGGAGGTGGGTGCTGTTGGAGCTAATAACGAAGCTTCATTTTTGGCTCAAACATCAGATTAGAACCAGCTTAGGAATAATAAATTGTATGCATTTCTGTCTCCTTACTGATTTCAGCGCTCAATCAAGCCAGAGAAGTTCTAGACGCCAATGATTACAGCTCAAGGCCCAAATTGCGCAAGAATAGTAATCTTGCGCAAGGGTTTGGGCTGGTCTAGAAAGTCTTGGGAGGGTGGGGTTGACCTATTTCGCACAAGCTCTCGCAACACTCGCTGAGTCAGCAAACCCCAGGGCCAACATTCTGTTTTGGATCCGAGAGTCCCAGACTGAGAAATACTGAAACTTGAAGTTTCGGCTCTGAGATTGGCCTCGACCAATCAGATTCACTCGTACCTACTGTAACCCAACATTCGCCAACTCACAGAACCCAAACAACAGCTGCGCAAGATTAGTAATCTTGCCCAGCGCGGCCCGCAATTTGGGCCTTGAGCAGATAATAAAGAACATTTTGATTCATCCTTGAAACTGATTGGCGAATCTGGTTTACGAATCACGAATCTCGCTGTGCTGTTGGCCATTTAGCAGCCCTACATCGCCTTTGGACACCTCGGTGCCATCTTGATCGAACTGGTCCGTCCATGACTCCCCTTCTTCCTCCTCCACCTCCCCGTCACTCCCAGTGCCTTCCACGCCATCCACGGCATGCATGCCCAGGTCACTGCCTGCCTCGCTCTGCATGGCAGCCACCATCTGCGGTGTCACCTGCATCACACGAGGCCCCTCCCAGGGGGCGGGCTGGCCGTCCTCCCACCCGCGGTACAGCACCACCTTGGACGGCTCCTGCGACACAAACACCCCCCCTGTCGCCTCCTGCACATGTCACAAAGCACACACCACCCTAGTGAGTGTCACAGACAGTCAGATCAAACCCAAATGAGCTGCAGCACACACCCGTGGGGAGGCAAAAGCGCACCCAGGCATGCCCTCGGCACCCTCCCTCACCTCGAGCTGCTTGACGATCTCTTGTGCTGGCGTGCCGGCCGCCCGGCCTCGGATGCCCACCTTCACGAGCGCATGGCGTGTGAAGTGCAGGCGGATGGCCCTCGCCAGCCCCTCCACCACGTTGCTGCGCCCTGTGGCCACGCCAGCCAGGGGCACCATGCACAGAGATGCACCACGCATGTGCAGCATGGGAACGTCAAAGACACCACAACAGCGGATGAGGGTGAGAGAGTGGAGGAAGAGGGGAGGAGAGCAGCTGAATGATTGCGAGTGAGAGCGAGGGTTGGAAACCAAGGGGGGGAAGAGAAGAGCGAGCGAGGGACCGAGGAGTGGTGGGGGCACTGACCAACTTGGAAGGCGGCGGTGCTGTCGAGGGTGAGCGCCCTGCGCCGGAGGTGGAGGCGCTGGGAGCGCGAGAGGGGAGGCGCCCTGAAGAGAGGCCCCACTAGCGCCCGCTCCCTCACCTCCTCCCTGCCCACTCGCCGCGTCTCCTGCACTGCCTCCCTCTCCCGCTGCTGCTGCCGCCTCTCCTCCTCGTCCTGCTGCTGCTGCAGCTGCGGCTGCACGCTGGCAGCAATGAGCGCATCAATCTCAGCTGCCTCTGCCTCCGCAGCGGGCGACAGCGGGGAAGGCCCGTCCGCACCTGCCTCACTTCCCTCCTCCCATGTGTCTGTGCTGCTGCTGCTGCCAGTGCTGGTGGCGGAGTCCAGAGAGAGAGGCAAAGAAGGGAGAGAGGCGCGGGAAAGAGGCGCTATCTCGCCAGGCTTCACCTGTGCCCCTCTCTCTGCCTCTGCCTGCCCTCACACACATCCACACACACACACACACGCACACAGGCACACACACAGCGTGGTGCGAACAGATGGGAAAGGAGATGATGTAACTAAATCAGAAGAGGAGCAGACGAGCAGAAAAGCGGAGGGGAGCAGAAGGGCGGGAGAGTGGAGGGGAGAAAATCCGGGAGAGCACTGACCAGGCCTTGTGAGAGGCGGGCGATGGCGGTGTCGAGGTCCCTCATGTGTGCCTCCAGTGACTGCAGGGCGGGGGGGGGGCCATGGCATGCAGTGCACAGCATGGATTGGCAGGGGATGACGTAGCCGTTACACACAGAGCATGCGACTCATAAGGGCCTAGCCGCAAGCGAACATACCGACTGAAAGCATCAGAGTCTGTGAGTGAGGCAGACACAACACAATCTCGTCAGCCATGGCCCCACCAACCCCACACGTCCACACCGGCCCCCCTCCTCCCCACCCCTCCCCCCCGTCCCCCCTTCCTCCCCCAGCTCACGGCGCGGCGCTGCTCCTCGGTGGCGCGTTTGAGCGCCTGGCGCTTGGTGAGCAGCCCCTTGGGGCGCAGGACGGAGGGGCGCGAGTAGTTCTTGCCGCGATACACGATGATGGCGTGGTACTTTTTGACCGCCACCACGTCCACCAGCACGCCGCCGCTCTCCACCGCCAGCATGCCCGCCACGTCCTCTGCTCGGCGGCGGTCGCGCTCCTTGCAGATGATCTTGACCAGCTCGCGGTGCTTCCAGTGCAGATGCATGTTCTCCACCAGCCCCGCGAACACCCCCCTCTTGCCTGCATGCCCCGGGGACGAGGGAGGGAGATGGGGGTGAGAAGAAGCGAGAATATGCTGGGTGGAAACAAGGGAAGAGACTAGGAGAAGCGCACGTTGCAACTTGCAATTGTTAGCAATGGGTGTCAAATGGCGGGGAGGACAGGCAGGTGGGTGGGCCGCATGGCACGGCACGGACCCATTTCAAGGTAGGCGCGCATCTTCTGTCCCAGCTTGCGGAACATGTGCCTCTCCTCCTCTGTGAGCGTCTCACTGTCCGCCGGCACCTCCACCGGCCGCAGCACCGCCTGCAGCTTCTCCAACTGCTCCTCCGCCCGCCCCTTCTTGCGCAGCGCCTGCTCCACACTCACAGAGAGGGCGGCGCACGGGTGGTGGAGGGGTGAGGGCAGTTAGCATTTACTGCAGCAGAGGCACGGAGCAGCTGGGGCAATGGCAGGCAATAAGCTGCAGCTTTGGGGTTGATAGGAACAAAACAATACACCAACAGCTTCTGCTCTATCTGCCATCCCACCTGAGCCAGCTTCTGCTCTATCTGCCGTGCCAGTGCCAGCCGCCTGGACGCCTCTATGGCCTCCCGCCGCCGCCGCCGCTCCTCCTCCACCAACTGCCCCTCCACCAACTGCCCCTCCACCTCCCCCTCCTCCCCGCCCTCCGCGTCTCCCCTGCCGTCAGACGAGTGCACTGCGCTCCCAGGAGAGGCTGCGCGATGATGGGCGTGCAGGCAAGGTGAAACACACGGGGGCGCAGAGTGGAGAGAGTGAGGGCGTATAGCATACAGGAAGGTGCTGTGCGTGAAACAATGCCGGGACGAGGAGAGAGTATATCCATGAACAGGTCGTACAAACCCGCCCATGCACTGGTCACCACTGACCACTTCCCGTACCTCCCCATGCGCCCCCCTCGCCGTGTGCAGAGCCGGAAGGCGAGGGCAGCAGCAGCGAGGGCAGGGCGAGCAGGCGCTCCCTCTCCTCCTCGTCCGCACTCTGCCGCGCGTGCTGCTGCCGCGCTGCGAGCGTGGAGGCGAGCGCGGCGGGCAGGAAGTCCTTGCCGCGGTACAGCGAGATGAAGAACTTGTCGCGCGCCAACAGCACCCCGCCCGTCAGCCTCTGATGGAGGGCGGGTGGGGGGGAGGAGAAGGGGAGAGGCGGGGTTGAGAAGCAGAGAGGAGGTGATGGGAGGACGAGTGTGTGTGGGGTGTGGCAGGCGTTGTGACTGCAAGCACCTGGCACGCCCCCAGCTCACCTTGAGCTCCTGCGCCATGCAGCTCACCTTGAGCTCCTGCGCCATGCAGCTCACCTTGAGCTCGTCCGCCATGCAGCTCACCTTGAGCTCCTGCGCCATGCAGCTCACCTTGAGCTCCTGCGCCATGCAGCTCACCTTGAGCTCCTGCGCCATGCAGCTCACCTTGAGCTCCTGCGCCATGCAGCTCACCTTGAGCTCCTGCGCCA